ATCTTTTTTTTAAAAAAAAGTTCAGAATAAGGGTTAACGAGAATGGGAAAAATGAACCTACACAGAGCAATGTCAGAAAACAAGATGTATCAAGTAAATCAACAGCCAATCAACAAGAATCTCCCTCGATAACAGATTTTTTATGGAAAATTCTGATGGAAAACACTAATATGAGTAGTTTTAGGATGCTAGAAATTGTAAATGAAGTAATGACTTATTTAAAATAAGAAAAATATTTTTAAAAACAGCAAGATTTGCTGAAAGTCAATACCAAAAAATCACAAAAGTGATTCTAGTTATTGGAAATAAAAGTCGTTCATAGTAACTTATAACTGAAAAGACAACCTAGAGATAGCTGAAAAACTGATGATGGGAGAGGATAAGAGGCAGATGCTCTAGATGATCGTATACGCACACATATTTACCTTTCAATACTGTTTCTGCTGCAACTCCTTGGGTTTGATATTTTTGTTTTCATTTATTTTCATTTCTTCAAAATAGTTTCTTTTCTCTTAGTAAATTCTTCACTGACTCATAGGTCATGCAGTATCATCATTTTTTCCAAGAAGGTTTCTTGTTTTCATTTCTTCATTGATACATTGGTTATTCAGTAGCATGATATTTAACTCCATGATGTTGCAATCTTTTTTACCTTTATGCCTGTTGTTGATTTTGTGGATTTTGTTGATTTTTATGGAATCGTATCACAAAATTAAAATAGAAGAAGAAAGAATGTATTCAATAAAATAATAAAGAAAAATTATCCCTAATTTGGAGAAAGAATTGAGAAACAAAACACAGGAAGGGCACAGAACTCCCAACAGGGTTAACCAAAATCAATCTTCACCACAACACATGATAATCAAGCTCTCTTCAACTGAACAAAAGAAAAAGATCCTTATATATACAAGTGAAAAAAATCAATCATACTCACTGCTGACCTCTCACAGGAAACTAGACTAGAGGCCAGAAGGGAATAGAGTGACATATCCTAGTTTCTAAATGCAAAGCAAAAAAAAAAAAATGGTCAGTCAGTCCAGAATACAATATCCAGCAAAGCTTTTCTTTGTGAAAATGCAATAAAATTCTTCCACAATAAAGAAAAGCTCAAAGAACTTGCCTCCCCAGATCTGCCCTACAGATGATATTTTAACATGTTCTCTTGGCAGAGAAAAGGAAAAGCAACTATCAAAACCAACATGAAATGTTGACAATGTCCCAATGAAACAAAAACAGAAAACTAAAGCAAACAATGAACAACCCATTGCTAAAATAATAGGACCAGATTGCTACATCTTCATTAGTGCTGAATGTAAATGGCTTAAACTGATTAGTTGAAAGTCCTGGATTAGTGGATTGAGTCAAAAACACACCCATCTATCTGTTGCCTCAGGAGATAACTCTCACTAACAAAGATATGCAGAAAATGAAAGGATAGAAAAAGAATATTCTTTTTAATGGCTAAATTGTATTCCATCATATGGAGAAGTGATGGTATGTTGCAGTATGCGTCTCTACTCTCAATAAAAGATGGACTGCCAATGAAAATGTTAAATATATCTTGATAATAGGATGCTGGGCATTTTATCATGTTTTACAATGTCAAGATACATTTAAATGCAGAATAACAGACTTGTGACTGTTTTTGAAGGACCATACTATTATAATAATATGGGAGAAATCAGCAGGAGAAAGGAATTGGGAAAAGGGAAGGAAAAATCCCTGATCCTATGGAAGTGTATCATAAAAGATAATAATAAACTACACAAAAAATACTTGCCAGAGAAATCAAAATATTTTTTTCAAAAGTAAAAGCATGATTGCAAAATTTATTATATATATTATTGGCCTCCAAAAATGTAAATGTTAGAAATAGAGATATCCAACAAGGCATTATTTGAGGTGAAAATTTTCCAAAATTAAAGGAATATATAATTCTTGAGATCCTAAGGGTACTTGATTGTAAGGATTGATAGGAAAAGTAATTAATTCATGCCTAGACTCATTATCACAGATAAAGATAAGCTCTTACAGCTGCCAAAGAGAAGAGGAAGTGTAATAACAGCACCACTCACCTGTACTTAGAATGACTTCATATCAATAATAAATTACCATATATAATCAAGAAGTATATTTATAACTTTGAAAGAAAAATCAATATAAAATTCTATTTGTAATTACCCTACTATTCAAGGGAGAAGTGAAATGTAATCTGTGAGTTTAGTAGCAACAGATACTAAAAATAATAAAGATGCATTTATAAAAAATAAACAAGTGTACTTTAAATGAAACATGTGAACTAGGAAAGCAGCAGAAAAATAACGATAAATTATCCAATCATTGATTATGTTTCATAAAATTTTGGTTTTTGTCAAAAGAGGTAAAATTGGAAAATATTGTGTGTTCAATAATCAAAAATTTTAAGACACAAGCTTTGATAAATTTAAAATCATCATTTTTAGTGTACAGAGATAGCAGCCAATAAGATTGTGGAAGTAGTTCTAATTTTACTTCTATATACTTTCTCACCAAAATGACATTGTGTGATTCAAATCATTTATTTTTCTATTTCACATATTTCCCATGTTATGTATTATTCTACGAGTCTTATTTAGGAGCTGGATAACATTAAATTATATAAAGTGTTTAATTTACTTAGTTGGTCAGCCAGATATTCACTTATTATATTTTATAATCTTTCTCTTCTTTTGAAATTTCTTAAGCTTCTAGTTGGAGCATGATCTGCTAAACATTTTATAAACTTTCTGAACCAAATTATTCTATCTCTGTTCTTTAGGATGCCTAAGGAGTATAGATCTGCAAACGTGGTATTAATTATCTTGGAAAAAAACTGTTTGATAAAACTTTAGTTTTTAAAATAACGGAACTTGAGTATTTAAAACTATTATAAGCAATATTAGTTGAAGTAAATGAACACTTCAACTTGACTATGTAATTTATTTTCAGAAAAATCTCTTTAGAGATCGCTGTCTGCTCAGCAAATAATTACTTTAAGTTGAATTTTAACATTAGTGCTGAATGATCTATGTACATTAGACAATGTGGTTCTCTCTAGCCATTTATGAGCTAAGAATGATGATCTCTCTTTTGCAGATACTCACACTTCAGGGGGAAAGGTTAAATAGTTTGCCTACGATCACTCAGCCAGTCAATGGATTATCTCAAAATATGGTCCTTGAGTTTTTAAATCATTAGATTCAGCTGGCCTCAGCAATACTTGAGAAGTGTAAGGGATATGCACTTAGATTTTTTTTTTTCTCTAATGATTTGCAAGGCAAAGTGTCTGGCTTGTTGAGAAAGCTTTTTGTTTCTCTTGAAACAGTTTTGGTCTATAAGCAAGTAAAAGTCATTATAAAAATGAATGTGATTAGAATCTATGTGGAAAACAGCTCACCGAGTAAGAGCAGCAGTTGTCAAACAAGCAGTAAGCAGGCAGTGGAGTCAAACATTTGTTGAAGGGTCAGGGAAAGAAAGGGGAGAATAACAGAAAGCAGACAGAGTGACTTTGTAGAATTGCAGTATTACTTTCTACTTCTACAAGCTCAGGATGAAGCAAAGGGATATTATTTGATTTTTAAATGACATGTGTATTATCTGGAAATAGTTCCCTCCATCTTCAGTGTAAGCAGTTACACATGTCCACTTGGCCATGGCAACAACACACAGTTCACAGAAATGAGAAAATCTTAGAGTTCAAGAATATATCGTAATTGTCTAATCAGAATTAGAATTAGAAATGAGCTCAGCAAGTTACAGAAAAGGCAGAAAGAGTGAGTTGATTTATTGGAAGGACCCTATCATTCTTAACTTATGAAGAGAAAAGAGAGGAGGTAGCCTATGTTAAGTTTGATTGTTTTTCTCATTCATTTAACAATAAATTATTTTAGTGAATTATTTGATCAGTATTCTATAAGATTGGTTTCTTGTTTTGATGCTAAAGATGACCAGCTGTCCTGATCTGCCAGCTTCCCTGGTGTTAGCAGTGAAAATTTTACACCTTGTGAAATTCCTCACATCTGGAAAAACTGGGTATATTGATTAAAATTAAAAATTAATTTAGATGTGTTCAGGATCCAACATTTATAAAACAGGAGTAAACAAAAATGAGAATTAAACTCACCCACTTCATAACAATGTCGTTAGTATTTGCTACAAATGGAAATGCCTTTGAATTATTTGTTGTTTTTCCTGGAAACCCAGTGATGTGTTTATGTCTCATTAGTATTTAACACATTTAATGCAATTCTAATAACACGGTGACATCCCCGTTCTCTTCCTTACTCCCTCCTTCCCATGAATAAGATTTCAAATACCTCAAAATGCATCCATGCCTATTCAACTGATCACATTCTAAAATTATACATTTCCAGTTGTGTGTTGAGCATTTCTATTCATTCTACAAATTCCCCTAACCTTACACTTTTCTTTATCTCTGAGAAGCAGTACCAGCCAGTACATTAGTGACATGCTTTCTGAGTTCTGATAACTGTATCACAGTGTAATCTCACTGCTCAGGGGTAAGAGGCCTTTCATTTCTTTTCCATTTCTATTTTTCCTGTAGGCCAGAGTTGGGAAATTTCTACCTAAGGAGTTTAGAGTCATTTAATGCTAATGTTACTTGTCCAGCAGTCTTCTAAATGACTGAAACTGTATGTCAACCACAGTTAGTACTTAAAATTGATAGAAAGCTACTTTAATACATAAAGCTATTTTTTGTTTTCTAGGGGCTAAACGTTGAACGGATTTAAATTTCTTCTTAGAAAAAGGAGAGAAAGAAAAGGGAATTCTGTGTTAGAAAAAATGAAAGTGAAACTTTTTCCTTTCCTATCTGAAAATGTTCACACTTGTTTGAAACCATGTTTCAACATAAATATAATCCAAAAAGTATCTCTCTCACTGACAAGTACTTACTATCCAAGTGAGAAGTTACTCTGTGTTTGCCAGTAACACAAGAGTGATTTCTTCTGCTTTTTTTCTAGCTACACAGTGCCAGTTGGCAACCCTTGTATGATTGAATTGGCTGTAGATGGAAAACTTCCAATACAGAAGAAAAAAATGAAGACAACCTATGCTCAGGTAGGTATGCAAATGTCTGCTCGAAATATTCATTGTGACCAGTAGTTCAAGTAATTGTTCGCTTTTGAATTCATAAGCGTTAGCCTTCTTAATACAATTTCTTATTAAAAGCTCTTTAAGCACATAAAAGAATCAGTTGACCTATAGAGGAATCCTAATGAGACCATTGCTAGTTCTTTGAGAAAATCAACAAAATAGACTCTCCACTCATCCAACTTAGCACAAAAAAAAAAAGATGGAGATATACAGATAAAAGGGATCAGAGATGAAAAAGGAAATATAACAGATAAGCTCAGACATACATATAGATATTTGAAACTATTACAAGCAACTGCATGCCAAACTAATCAGGAGACCAGGCAGAAATGGATAGATTTTTGGACAATACAATCTACCAAACTGAATCAGAAAGCAGTTAATAATCTAAATAGACCTATAACAAGGACTAAAATTAAATCAGTAATTAAATGACTTCAATTTTATCCAAGAAGGTTTTTTGGTTTTCTTTTTTTCATTTCTTCAGCAACACATTAATCTTTTAGTATCATGTTATTGAACTTCATACCATGTATATTTACATTTTTCTTCTGATTGTTGAATTTGTTTTGTAGCTTTTTCATTTAAGGAGATGTATAGTAGCTATGTAATAAAGACTGTCGTATCCAGATGTGAAGATACAATGCAGTGTACATCTTTACTCTAAAAGATGGACTCCCAATGAAACTATTAATTGTATCTTGATAACAGGATGCTGAATTTTATGCTATTGTCCATGTCTACAATGTCAGATTATACTTAATTAGCAGAATGATGGATTTATGACTGTGAATGAGTATACTATTGTAATAATACAGGGGAAACCAGTGTAGGGGAAGAAGCTTAAGGAGGAAGTAAGAGAAATCCCAGAGACTAAAAAAGTGAAAAAAGAAATTCTTTAAAATCACCAGAAAATTCATCTCATACTTTGGATATAAATACATTTAATGTTTCCTGGCACTGAAATGTTTTATCGAATTTAAAATGTTTGTTTTCCTGTTGCATTTTGGTTTAATATGTTGTTTGTGATTTTTTTTTTCAAAAACACAATAGCTTAGGAATAAGGAATGATTAGCAAGACACAACACAGTTTTTTAAAGAAATAGATTTTTGAATTATGGTATGGAATTATTAATGCTGTGTTGTGAAGATGCCTACTGCACTAGTTTGGAAATTTTGCTTAGAAACATCAGATGAAGGCAAATTGAAAGATGAAAGGATATGTGTCCCTCCAGAGATCAGCCAATTTGCTAAATTCTTTCAACTTAATGATGTGGTTGGTTCTTACTATGACTTTATTGCAACACATTTAAAATAAAGAACTTCTGATTCATTTGATCATCATGGAGAGTCAATCTGTATAATTACAGCTCCAAAGCACTAATTTTGGTGCACATTAAAGCTGGCAATATGAACAGCCCTAATGACTTGGAAATTTCTTTTTATGGCCATTTCTTCTAAATAGTCTTGGTGAGTGACATAGGCATCCAAAAGAAACAGGTAGGGACACCTGTCATTTGCATAAGCACACTACATTTTCCACGTTGTGGTCATATACACCGCCTTATTTTACATTCTACAAGAACCGAGAAAACTAAGAATAATAATGTCTGACAACACTAGTGGATTTGTCCACCATTCACAGAAATGAGAGACTTACCCCTGGCCTTCTAATTCCTGAGCCCTGTTTATTCCCTTATAATATTCTCTACTACTCATAATTTTTTACTGCATCAGCTCCAAACTTTTCAAAGAGTTGTTAGGGTAGGAATAAAATTGTTTTTATTTAAAAAAAATAAAGACAAAACAAGTTGGAGCTCAACAGGGCCAAATAGCTCAACTCAAGATGTAGAACATCCAAATAGCTGAAGATAAATACTCTATAAAGCATTCAATCTTACTACATTTTCACTAACTCTTTATACTCACTCATTTTTATATACTGAAATATCCATATTCTCTTGTGAATACCATGCAATACACCACTCATTTTGACTTTATTGAATTACATATTGGATGAACAGAGTTCAACAGGTGCTTAATTTATTTTTGTTATTAAAAATAGTAGATATGACATATATATAACCTCTCTACAAATCAGTCTCTTTATCCTGTAGGTTGAAGTAATGCAGATTAGAATGTCCCAAGAAATAAATATAACCTACAGGGACTAACACATGAGAATGGAATTTATTCTTATCTTATTCAATTTATTTTAAATTGAAAATAGTTTGGATGATTTTAGGGTGCAAAATAGAGAATGAATTGAGAAGCTCAAAAGCTTGCTGTTCACCAGCACTATCAGAGTTGTTACAAGGTCTCACTGGTTGCCATCTCCTTACCTTGAGCCCAAATAAAGTGTTGTGAACACCTATGAATCACTGGTACCTTGTAACTTATATAACCCAGAGCTCAGCTCAGACACACAGTGCAAGACTGTATGTGTTTGAGACTTTCAGCCTAGCCCAAAACCCAAAGAGTTATGAAGTACACAAACATTTCCACCTTAGGAGATGTGATTTGAGGATTCACAATTCTGAAAAAGCAGTCAGTATTCACAGAAATTCTGTACTTCCAATTTTAGCTTTCGATTCATTCCTGGCCTAGGACTATGTGATATATCACTCTTGATGTTGAGTTTCAGCAGCATGCCAAAAATCCAGTTAAATCTCATGATCACAAAGAGAAGCAACTGACTACCATGCACTGTTTTTCTGTTTCTATTGCCCTGATATTTATCATTTCCTTCTGTTAACTTTTTGCAAGTTTGTTCTTATTTTTCTAATTCCTTCAGGATAATGTTAAATTCATTAACATTTTTCTTCTTTTTGTTCTATTTTTATTATTGGGAAGTGGAGACATGGAAAGAGCAAGTTATTCTGTGCTGGCTCACTCTCCAATTGCGTACAGTGACCAGCACCATACCAGGGCAAAGCCAGGAAGCTGCGAAGTGAATCCAAGTTTCCCATATGGATGCAATGACCCAAAGACTCAAACCATCACTTACGGCCTTCTGGGGTATATATGGAGAAGAAGCTAGAATTAGGAGGCAGAGTGAGATATTGAACTGCTTTCTCCCTACTTCTCATCAGTCAACTGGTTGACTTTGCCGTAGCCACAGTTGCTAGATCTGAGCCAGGCTAAAGCATGAGCTTTTAACTCCATCCAAATCTCCATGTGGGTGGCAGAGACCCAAGTACCTGCTTCTTCCCAGAGCAGTCACTAGCAGGAAGTTGAATCAAAACCAAAGTGGAAACACAAACCCAGGGATTCCAATACCAGGCATAGATCTCTGAAACGACATTTTAACCATTGCACCACAATAGGCATCCCCAAAGTAAGTGCTGAGCTACGCAATCATTCTCTTTTTAAAATGCAGTCCCATTTATAATCACTTACTGCTTCTCCTTAGAAATGCTTTTGCTGCATTGTATAAATTTTGGTATTTTTGTTTGCATTTTTTTTTGTTCAACAAATCTGATTTCCCTTTTGATTTCTTCCTGATTTGTTGATTATTCAACAGTGACTTAATTTGTACATAACTCACTTTTTCTTATGTTACCAGTTTTTAATTTTATTCCAGTTATTGTCAGAAAAGATATTTGGTATGATTTCAATCTTCAAGGAATTATTAAACTGCTTTGTTGTTTAACATGTTATCTATCACAAAAAGGTCATGTTCTTGAGAAATATGCACTCTTACACTGTTGGATAGAGAATCTATATATATTTATGAGATATATTTGATCTGTTGCTCAAATCTTTTCTTCCTTCTTATATTTTTCAGAATTATTTTTTTTATTTGAGAGAGTTACATAAGAGGAGGGAGGGAGAATCAGAGCAAAAAAGGAGGGCTCAATCAGTCTCCCATCTTTGCATCCACTAATTCACTAGCCGGGTAATCACAATGGCAAGGGTTCAGCTAGGTCAAAGCTAGGATTGGGAGATTCATCTAGGGTTTCCATGTTGATGACATGGATCCGATACTTGGGCCATTCCCTGGACACAAACTGATGCCTGTATGGGATACTGACTTTGCAGGCTGCAGCTTTACCCACTATGCCTCAAAGCCAACACCTCCTTATTACTTTTTACTCCTAATTGAACTGAGGCAGTGAAATCTGCTGCTGGTATTATATTGTTGACTGTTGCTTCTTTCGGTGTTGTCATTGTTTACTGCATTTATGTAGAGACTAGGCATTTATGTATATACATATATAGCATGTTGCTGAAAATATGTATATTCATAATATGTTGATATCGGGGCATATATCCATATCATGCTTGTTTTCTCTTTCTAGAAGGTCAATCCTATTATTGTTGTATAACATCTTTCTTTGTGTCTTGTCACAGTGCTGACTTAAAGCTTCCTTTCTTGTGGTGTAACTCCTCTTTTTCTATTAGTTACCATTTTTATTTAATCCTTTTCTGTCCTTTTACTTTCCACTTTAGGTTCTTGAATCTAAAGAAAATCTCTTCAACAGAATGTAGTTAATTCTAATTAATTATTCAATGACTGTCTTAATTAGTTTAATCCATTCACAGCCAAAGGCTAGGTGAGTGTTTAATAGTCTTGATTCATGCTTTATACCCCTTTCCAGTTTTTTCTTTCTTGCTGCCTTTCCTTATGCTGTATTAATTTTTTTTAGTGATATACTTTGGTTCATTTCTCTTGTTTAACATTTTATAAATATTTTGTAGTTGCTATGTGATATACATTAAGCATTTTATTGTTATAACAATCTTTTTTAATCTGATAACTTCAAATATGTAAAACTCTTAATTTCCCCCACATACTTTGTTACTGATGTAAAAAATAATACCTTTTTTATATTGTGGCATCATGAACATATTTCACAGTTGTCATTACTTTGCCTTTTATTTCTTTACAAGAATGAAAAGTTATCTATCTACCACTGTTATAGTAATCTATATTTGTCTGCATATCTACCCTTAAAAACATT